TAGAACCTACATGAACTTCACATCCATCCTTTTAAAATATAATCTTAGTTCCACTGCTTGTTCTGGGCTAAGAGATTTCAAATTTAATCCTGATTGTCATCCAAATTCTCTATTGCTTTGAGCTTTGCATTATGATCTATGTACATCTGAGTCCTTGAGAACATTGTAGAAATGTCATGGTCAAATAAAGACCTGTAAGGTAGACCAACAGAAAGCAGCTTCTATGTTGGCTTACAGACCTATGAACATTCTTTGGATGTAGCTGGTCAACCAAGCTATGACACTACATTTCAGACCTGATTTCTGCCTGTCACCCATAAAGATTACTCAATATTCTAGTTGATAAATGTGTGCCAGAGGGATTGTGTATATATAAAAATCTGATAACTCTGCCTCTACTTTAAATACTCCAGGTTATCTACAATTTAAAGGAATAGTAGAGGAAATTTTTGGTACGGCACAAAACTCTTTAGTGAAGCAAAAACTGTAACTCAACCCATCTGTTTCATAAGTCTTGATTTTAATATATTGGATTCACATAGTGGGCTACATATACATTATCCATGAGACAGAATATGAAAGTCAAAATTCTATGTAAAGTATTTTAATAAAGGTTTTTAAAATTATGACTAATGACATACATAATAGGCATTTTAATTTAAATAGCCTTGATAAATGTTTACCATTTTAAGAGAATGTACAGTTGAACTTCTCAACTAAAAGCAATTATTTAAATTTTTGCTCATTTAAGTGGATCATAAAGCAAAGGAAATCTGAAATTAATATGTCAGTGTTTATGGAATATGGAACCTTCAGAAAATCTGGCTTCCAAGTTCTGAAGAGTGGAATATTCCTATTCTTTTAAAGAAAAAAGTAAGAAATGTACAGTAAATTCATTCCAAAAATTGATTCACATTTTAAATATTTATAATGCCAAGTGGTAAAGTAAAGAAGATTTAGGGAACAGGGTTTCTGATGTCACTGATGATATCTGTTAAGCCAAAAAACAGCTGTGAGATAAATAGTTTCATTATGAATGAAACCTTCAAAACATATGGTAGCCTTTCACCAACTACCTGCACAAAAAAATAGAGTTATAACAGCTGAAATGAGCTCTTATAACCAGCATGCTAATTACCCAAGTCCTAATCCCAATAATTAAAATGGAAACATTTAAAAGTTATATAAAGACTTTTGAATCTGCAGTTATTGACTTTCATGAGACTGACTTTTTAAAGAGGCTTAATGAGCTCTCCTTAGGCATTTGCCACAATTATTTTGCTTTGCACCAAAAAAGTAAAAAAATCAAATTGTGAATTATTTTGATGGCATCTGAAATATCATATAGAGTACCCAGACATTGTACAAATCATCTACTTTCATTGAGAATAAAGTTATTCATCCCTTGGAACCATAGCAACACTTAGAGTTTATTTTATAGATACTGAGATTAGGGTTGGCACAATATTATTTTTTTAATGTGTATATCTTCCATTTTACAGCATAGAAACTGATATAAAATATGACTTGCTCGTGGTCAGCAGAAGTGAGTTGGAAGGTTAAAAGCTCCCAGGATGAAAGAACATACTCTCTTCAGAATCTTTAAATTCAGAGTATCCACTGAGGACTTAGAATATAAAATGTAAATTGGGCACACAATTTCAGTTAAGGCTCTCTCTGGGTGATATTCCACATAAACTGTCATTGAGGATTACTGCAGTAAGCCTTTCTTTAATAAGCCATGTTCATGTGAAGTCTTGCTGAAAACAAAACCTGTGGTCTAATTGCCTTGAAATTATAGCAGCATCAACACATTCTTGATCATATATTTTTTTTCTCATATACTATCAGAATTACAAGGCAGAATGTGTTTGGCAAGCATTGCAAAGAGGAAGAGTAGAAAAACCTGAAGTAAGACTGTTTTCTGCTCTGTTGAAAGGATAATCATTTGATAAGAAAGACCCTAATGAGCTACTTAGTTATAAGTTTTATTATAGGGTAATTTTTATAATTTTAAGATCTTATTATAAAAGTTGAAGTGGAAATTTAACCACACATATGGACACTCAAACACATGAGGCTCTTCTGAAGGATAGTTCCAAAAAAAAAAAAAAAAAAAAAAAAACAGATTTCTTGACAGAAGGGCAATCTAGAATGGCATTCTATTATCAGTTGCTGGAGTTTGCAAATTGGAATCTTCAAGAAATGAGTAACTATTCTCTACCTGGACCGCAGTGGTTTGATCATCAACTTCCCTGGAAATTTACCATGTTACTCAATAATGAAAGTAGCTTCTGGGTCTTCAAAGACACACATGTATGTGATGTGCCAGTTTTTTTGGAATTAACTGCATTTGGAACATTCTGACTAGGTCCTCTGGTGGTACTACAAGCATATAGTCATTTCACATAGTGCTATTTCTGTAAAATGTACACTTTTTCCATCATCAGAATCTAGATTTTAAAGATAGCTGGATCAAATCAGAAATGATCTCAATTTAATGTCTTTTCCTACTTGAAGCAACAGATTTGCTAAAACCAAGACATCTGCTTATCTTATTTCAGAAATTTGTGCCAAGAAGCAACAGACTATTGGATCTAGAACTAGAAATACCATTTGACCCAGCCATCCCATCACTGGGTATATACCCAAAGGATTATAAATCATGCCGCTATAAAGACACATGCACACGTATGTTTATTGCGGCACTATTCACAATAGCAAAGACTTGGAACCAACCCAAATGTCCATCAATGACAGACTGGATTAAGAAAATGTGGCACATATACACCATGGAATACTATGCAGCCATAAAAAAGGATGAGTTCATGTCCTTTGTAGGCACATGGATGCAGCTGGAAACCATCATTCTCAGCAAACTATCGCAAGAACAGAAAACCAAACACTGCATGTTCTCACTCATAGGTGAGAATTGAACAATGAGAACACCTGGACACAGGAGGGGAACATCACACACTGGGGCCTGTTGTGAGGTGGGGGGAGGGGAGAGGGATAGCATTAGGAGATATAGCTAATGTAAATGACGAGTTAATGGGTGCAGCACACCAACATGGCACAGGTATACATATGTGACAAACCTGTACGTTGTGCACATGTACCCTAGAACTTAAAGTATAATAAAAGAGAGAAAAAAAGAAAAGAAATAAATGAAACATTACAAATCAAAAATAAAAAAAGAAGCAACTGACTATTGATCGGCATCTCAAATATTATATTTAATTACCTACTTTTATATAAATGTAATAAAACATTTAAATGATATATTCCAGTATTGTGTGATGATGACTTTTTACCTGAGACCAGGGTGGTAATAGAATAGTAAACTAGCACTTAGGGTATGAGTCAAGAGCAGATCAATTGCTATTTTAAATGCATTGAGGTCCATTCACCGAAGTACCATTTGCCAATTCCTGTCCTTGTCCCTTTTCAGCTCTCTTTTCCATTCCCATTGGCGACTATTTAAAATCTTTCTTTCAGAATCCCCCTCCCTTCCCTCATTCTCAGCAGGCCACTCTGTCCTCTCACTGAGGCTATCAGATCAAATCCTTCAACTTCCAGCACTACTCTACTATCTATTAACACAGAGATTTTTTTCCCTCATTTTCTCCCAGGATAAGATCTTGCTCTTTTATTCAACGCCAGTCCTGTCAAAACTGCTAGGCATCTCACTGCCTGACTACAGCTGCCCAGCATAGTTCAGTGCCTCTTCTAGGCTCCTACAGTAGACACGCCCCTCCACCACCATCATAAACACACACTCCTGGCACAACAAGTCCTAGAAATTATGATGCAGATCCCACCCCCTGCCCCATTTCCCCTTGTCATCTTTGCATCCTTGGCACCTTCCACTAAGTCTAGCAAGCAGAGATACCCAACCAATATGTGTTGAAGTGAAACTGTTCACTTTTAAGCATGTGTTATTTTCAAAAGCTTGAACCAGAACTGAGCTTGTCCCAGATTGTCTGCAGAAGAGCATATGATTTCTGCTCCACTTTATTTTTTCAACCCATAAATGACCCAAGGAGGAATGAAACATTTCCAGTAACTAGGGTTGCCAGAAAAATACAGGCAGCCCAGTCAAAACTGAATTTGGGATAAACAACTAATAATATTTTGTAGTGTAAGTATGTACCAAATATTACATGAGACATAGGTAAAAATAGCAATTCACTATTTATCTGAAATTCAAATTTAACTGGGCAGCCCACATTTGTATTGCTAAATCTGGACACTGTAACAGTGATTTGTTAAAAATTCTCAGAGGACTCGAGAACACTTCAAGTCACCTGGAGATTTGTATGCAAGCTCCGCAAACTTCTCAATCATCCAGATTTCATATCTGTTAATGCAACTGGGTTTCTTTCTGAACCTCTCAGTAACATGCTTTAAGAAATGCTGCTTGATTTATTATATGACATTTTCACTTATTTTGCCAATTTCATATAATTTTTATTCTAATGCAATTTATAGAAGATTTTACAAAGAATACTGTAATTTTGTTTAAGATCTCTTGGAAAGCTAACATTTATAGAGTTATTATCACGCCTCAGCTAAGTCCTGGCTGCAAGTATTAATTTTTGAAATTTTCATATTTTCAATTAAATCAGCAGAACGCAAAAAGAGAAATAAATAAATCTTTGATTTGGAGATTTCTTTTCTTCATTAATCAGGCACAGCAATACATAGTATCCTAACTAACAGGTTTGCAGAAGCAGGCTGGCAGGCGGAGGTGGAGCCTGTGATGTAACTGCAGTAGGTCTTTGTTGGAAAAGCCTTCCTAAATGTAAAACATCTGTAAATTGAAGCACTTCAGCTTCACTGTGTATGGGCTGGCAAGATTAAAGCGTCGCTTCTTTTAGCATCCTGCACTGGAGGCTTAAAATTTTGTTCCACAGAGGAATTCCTTATAGGTCCTTATGAAGATTACATATCTATCTCACCAAAGCTGGGAGAAAAGCAGGCTTTTTCTGCAAAAGAGGACCATTTCGAGTACTGATTGCTGTGTGTGCTGGTTTACCGGTAAATGGTGGTGATGCAATGGAAGTTATAACCTGAAGTGTAGGAAAGATGCCCTACAGCCTGTTCCAGTTCTCAACGTTCCCTACATTAATGGGTTCTTCTTTCAGTGTTCTTGACAGTGATGTCTTAGAGAGAAGACATTTATTTCTTCTTCCTAAGAAAAAGATTAAGATAAGAGAAATACCTCCCAATGTAGATAGATGCAAGAGTGTGCCTTTGGCAAAATACCAACTAAACTGACCTCAGAGAAAACTTCTGGGGGAGGGAATGACTAAGTCTGCTGTAACTACGTGTTGTCATAATATGTTAATGAATTAAGACATTTATCCCAATACAGGCATAATACCTGCTTTCCACCATATTGGCACCACCAGTTAAGGACGGTTGTCAGGCTACCAGCACAACACGTATACACTGCAGAGATGCAGAACAATGCCTGGATGCCTGCCCAAAATTGGTCTCTCCAAATGACAGACTCAATTTATAGTACCAATATATGGCCCACTGGGGGTTAGCAGCATCTTTTTCCTAGTTGGTGAGGGAAAGGGATGAAATAATGTAGAATGCTCAGAGCACTGGTTGGGGCTTCCACCTGCCTGTGCACAGCAGAAAGGCTGACAAACATATTCATTAAACTTGATCTGAAGCAAGTGAGCCCGTGAGGTCGTTCCTGAAATATTCATAAGGTGTGTTACCGGACTCGCCGCTTAGAGGTTGAGCAGAAACACTGAGTCAGAGCAGTCCGTACCCACACTTAGAGAAAAAAAAAAAAAGCACCCACAACAGCTCACCCCACCACCACACTCCACTGCTCTGCTTTTAACAGCCCCGTCAGCAGTCAGCTGTCACTCTCCACTCGGCTGTCCAATTCTACCTGCCCAGGAAAGAGATGCTCTAATACTGAAGTGCGGAGTTTCCCAGCAGTTGGAGGAGGCGCAGCGCAACAGCCCAGGCGACTGCTCCTCCCGTGTCTCTACCAGGAGGACCCCACAGTACGGCGGCCCCGCAGCCCGGCTGCCTTTCTCCTCCCTGGAGACCGAAGCCCACAGGCCAAGGGGTCCCCGGGGACCCAGACCAGCCCCTCGCCCCAGCCAGGCTGCCCTTGTCCCGCCTTCCATTTTGGCTCTGCCTGGGATCCCTTCCCCGAGCCCTCGGCGTTAGGTCGCTAGGCGACCTACGCCCGGGCCGAGATGCAAACAGCCTCTCGCGCCGACCTGCAGTCTCTCGGGTGTTAATTGGGAGGACAGGATAGGAGGGGAAATCACTGTCCTGGGTGACCCCGGAGCCCCTGCACCGAGGCAGAGTGCACTTTCATTCACGTTCCCTCTCTGCCCCCGATGCTGAGCATTTCTGCTGCGTCCCAGGCACCGCGCAGCTTGCGTGATGCCTCGCGTCCTCGCCGCGCCTCTCTCCTCCCCAAGGGCATTCGCCCCTCGTCCCTAGGCTCCTCGGGGGTCGCCAGTCACCTGGACTCTGGCGGCGGCAGGCTCAGCAGCTCCCGTCGCGCGGCGGCGTGGTCTTCATCTCCGCCCTCCCCAGACGCTCAGGCTACGCGCTCCGCGGCGGCGATCGACGCGCTCGGTCCCGGGCGCCGAGGCTGGACAGGGGCGGCCGCGGCTGCCGCACTGGCTGCGGGCGCGGAAGGGGCGGGGGCGGGGCAGGAATCTGGGTCGCGTGGAGCGGAGCAAGCCGGGATGCACCCGGGGCGGCTGGCGGCGGGGAGGCGACCGAGAGCAGCTGGGGAGGGTGTGCAGAGGCTTCCCTGACAGCACGAAGCGGGCGGCTACTGAGCATGCCCAGTCCGGGAGCCGGGGGCGCGGGCGCAGTGCTGGGGGAGGGAGCGCGGCCCCCAGCGCCGGAGTCTGCGGGGAAAGGGTTAAATCTGCGGACCCCGCTGCTGTGGGAGGTGGCTGGTGTGGCCCAGTTTAATTGCTCCCGGGTGGACTCCCCGGAAGATCCCACGACGGGAAGATGGTGAACCTGAGATGACCTGTCAATGGGATTCCCAGACAGTCCCGGGAAAGGTGTGTTCCCCGCCCTCTCCCTGGATAAATGTCCAGAAGTCAAACTTTGTTTTAGTTCAGCTCCAACCTCCCCCATCTCACCGAGCACCCAGTGACTCTCCCAATCCTGATCCCCACCCCTCATCTGCCTTCCTGGGCCTGCAGAACCCTACCCCTCACCCCCACCGGCAGCCCCCGCCTTTCCCACTCCTGGCCCAGTCGGGTCAGATTCTCAAAGAGCCAGCTCTTTAATTAGGTGTAATTGAGAGATCGTGTCAATCCTGCCAGGTCCATATCTGCATTTCAACAAGGGCTTCAGAGACAATACTGTAACCCCGGGGTTAATTATAACAGGATGAATTATAGACACCCTGGTCTGGGGCTATTTGGGGCAACATTGCTTCGTGGAGCCCCAGAAGCCACTTCATACACACACACACACACACACACACACACACACACAGAGAGAGAGAGAGAGAGAGAGAGAGAGAGAGAGAGAGAGAGAGAGAGAGAGAAGATAGAGAGACCTGTGCCTTCAGGATTGCATTTCATGTTTGATGAAGAACGTTTTCTCCATAGCTAATCAAAAAAGTCTCTTTAATGAGGCCGCATGGGGTTGGGGAAGGACCAAATGAGCTTCGAGGTCGGCGCTTATTTTAGTTTCATTTATCACTCCAAGCCGGTTACCTGGCCGTCCTGCGCCTCTGTTTCCTCACCTGTAAAACAAAAGGTGGTTATACCTACCTCTGTGGGCTGTTGTGAGGATTACTCCGGCAGCCGGCAGCGCAGAGCAGCCTGGATACCAAAGCATCTGCCTGTCCCACAGTGGATGTTCCCTGAATGAAGTCTCTGCAGGTTCCACCTCCACTATTCTGTGTTTATGAAAAGATGGGTTAGTGATAATCCTTCAATGCTGAACATTTATCTTATTTCCTCTTCACATTAAATGACATTAAAGCCTTGACCTTTCTGATTTTTTTTATCATTGTTGAAAGCGTTAGCCACTATTTACTTTTCTTTCTTTTCAGGGAGATATGAAGGATACCTCCCCGAATAAATGTCTTGGAAAAAGCTAGACCTTTGGAGGGAAAAGCTTCTTGGGAGATATTCATTAGGGATAGATTTATCCACCTGACAAAAGAAATTTACTCCCTAGTCTTTTAAAAGTAATTTACTTGCATCTCCCTGTGGTCCTGGTTTCACAACTATTGCATGAAGTATGCCTGTATGGAAGGAAATTTGCTTCACACACATACTGTTGACTGCTTAAGTATCAGCATTCAAAAGATAAACTTTTTATTATCCCCCAAACATACTATTTTTTTCATAACACACTGCTTTATTCATGATGTTCCACCCTTTCTGAAATACCATTCTCTCTCATTCTGTTTTGTGAAGTGCTACTCACTCTTCAAGCTCAAATGTCACCTTCTCTCTGAAGCCTACCCTGAACCTCAAGGCGGAGTGAATGCTCTGCTGTCATAGCACCAGTGCATACTGCTATCACAGCACTCATCTCAGCCTATCGCTGTGGTCCGAGCAATGTAAAACTATTTACTGAGCAACTGTTATGTGCAGGCAGCATTCTACATGTTAGGAAAATAAGAACAAACAAGACAAGGTTCCTGCCCTCCTGGAACTTACAGTCTAGTTGAAAAAGACAGAAAATAAACACCTAAACTATAAATAATCAGTAAGGACAGAAGTCTAGTAATTCTGGTAATTTTTGTCTTTTGTGTTATTCATCAAATTACATTGTAGAGTCTTGACTCATCCTTCCAAAAAACATCAGTAAAAATATTAATATTGGCTCTAGGCCAAACAAATGACATGGACGTGGATCTCTGCCAGTTTGTTGCTGAACCAATGACTTTTACTCCTTTCAGTTGATTCCCTCAGCTAAAACTTTCCTAAACTCAAGCCACTCAAGGTAGGTAGCTGCAATCCCATATGATGAATGGAAAATGGTCGGGGAGGGCCAGAGAGTTTAACCTCCACAACAAATTATATCCTTTATCTAACCTTTAGGAATGGCATTTCTAAAATGTCCAGAATCAACCTGGATCTCCAGATCTCCTGCATCCCAAACATCTCTTCCAGGGTCTTGCACACCACTCCCAACCTCTCACTTTTTCACCGTCTTTGGCCTCTATTTATGTCAATAGTTATTCTCTGTCATACATCATCTGTTTGAAACTACCTACTGTCTGAACGACAAGCTTTTCTCTCTGATTCTCTTGCTGTCTGAGTGTGAGGCAGCCTTGGTATCAGTTAGAACTGACTTCTTCAAAGTGCGTTTGTACACATGTATTCCACAGCAGTTAGAGACAATCTTGCCACTGTTTAATGCGAGCAATTCAAGGGGAGGGTCTCATTCATCTTTGTATTACAGAACTTAGCAGATGACCAATATGTAATAGATCCTCAATGAAAAGTGTGAAAGGAATGAATGAATGTAAGCAGGTTCTTAACTCTATGTGCCTCCTTAGACTATAGTTCTTTTCTAATTGGTTATCCTGCTAACCCTAGACTTGCTTCACCAGGATTTGGCCCAGTTTTTCTTTTCATAATTTCTCTTCCATTACAAATCCACAGATTTCTCCACTTCTGGGTCCTGCACATGAGGATTATACTATTTGACTTAATCTTTTGGCTATTTATCTCACAATAAACATAAACACTAAGGCTTATTTGTGTCTGTGAAACAGAAGTTTATTTTTATTTCAAAACTGAAGAATTCTGTCACTTTGTCACCCAGGCTGGAGTGCAATGGCACAATCTCGGCTCACTGCAACTTTTGCCTCCCAGGTTCAAGTGATGCTTGTGCCTCAACCTCCCAAGTAGCTGGGATTACAGGCATGCACCACCACGCCCAGCTGATTTTGTATTTTTTAGTAGAGACGGTTTTGCCATGTTGTCCAAGCTGGTCTTGAACTACTGATCTCAAATGATCCACCCACCTTGCCCTCCCAAAGTGCTGGGATTACAGGCCTGAGCCACTGTGGCCAGCCCTCTTCAGAATCTGCCAGCTTGTGGTAAAAATATTTTAAAAAGTAATAAAATGTGTTCTTTTGCTTGACAGTAATGCAGTAGAGAAGAATTTGATTTAGGTTTTTGTTTAAATTTTGAAAAAAGTTTTTAAATATTTTTACAAATTTTTATAAAATCCTATATTATATGAGCTGTTAACAACACATTCTGTACTAAAGCAAAGAAAGGTAATCTTGCCACTTTGCAGTTACTTTAGTAAGTCTAAAGCAACACATTTCCTCCCTGTTTTTGAAAATGTGAGTTGGTGGTGTCCTTTAAATAAGTCATGGATGAATGGATGGACGGATGGATGATGAGGGACAGATAGGCGAGTGAATGGCTGGATAGATGGAGAGAGAAAGGGAAGAATAAATGAATAATGTAACTCGCACATGGATAGGGCATTCATCTGTTCAGAATTTTCTGAGACCATCTAGATTTCAAATATTTTCTCTCACTGTCAGATTGTGTTTCAGATGATGGGTCTTAATTTTTGGTTTGTAAAATATAATATACAAAATATATATGGAGACATTTCTCCTGCTTATTTACTATGGAAACTGAAAAAGATGAAGATTACTATGACATCCTGTCTTCAAAAATGAACATTTGTTGAGTGCTATGTGCTAGGTTCTGGTGAGCACTGGAGATATGAAGATAAATAATGTGAAGACTACCCTCAAGAAGCTCACAGCTTGACAGTAGAAGAAAGTGATGGAAGCAGATAAACAATGCAAAGGAGTACATGGTGGACTAGAGATATGAACAGCTTTCTGACGGGAACCCATTGGAAGCAGTGTTTATGATCTATTTTTCTTTAGTGTGTCCCAGAATTTCCTACGCACAATAAAAATATTCCACCAAGGAGCATGCCTACTCTTAGCTTGGTGACACATCTTGACAGTGCCCTGTTACTCATGCAGTATAGGTATGTAGGTCACATAAAAGTCTGTGGCTTTATATTTCATGGCATCATGTATTGAAGTGTATTAATCACAATATAGAGCAGCCTGGAGCGATGTGCCCATGAAAGTTTTGACTTTTCAGCTCTTGAAATTCCACATAAGAGCTGTGCTTAGAGCACCTGTTCTTTCCTTTGTTACTCTCAAAAGGACATTTCTTCTATGAAGCATCTCTGAAACTCGAAAACGTTATTTATGTATTCACCAGGATTATTTTCCTTTACTTCAATTCAATAAGATTTCTTGAGTGCCTACTATAAATAAGACACATATCTAGAGAGATTCCACATGTTTATGTCCTAAAAATTGGTTGTAGCCCAAATATAAAAATAAAATTACCTGAAGGTAATAAAAAGGGATAAAAATAACTAACACACATGCGCTTACTATGTGTCAGGCACCATCCTAAGCAAATTTACATATTAACTCAATGGAAATGACATAGGGGGCTCCCACAAGCCTCTG